AGGACCCCCGACCGGCCCAGAGGGAGACGCCAGAGGTCCCAGACACCCCAGTGTGTCCTAGAAAAAGACCCCAGAAGCCCCAGAGACCCCAGAAACCACAACCCACAAGAGATCAACCTCAGAAGCCCCAAAAGCCTCAGAGACCCAAGAGACCCCAGACCAGAGAAAGACCCCAGAGGCCCTAGAGGCCCCAGAAACCTCATCCGGCCGAGAGAGAGACTCCAGAGGCCCCAGAGACCCCAGTAGGTCCTTATAGAGATGCCAGAGGCCCCATAGAACCTGGCCTGGCCCACAGAGAGAGTGTAGAGGATCGAGAGACCCCAGTTCGGCCCAGAGAGAGACCCCAGAGGCCCCAGAAACTCCAGGATGGACTAGAGAGACCGCAGAGTTCCCAGAGTTCCCAGAGACCTCCAGCCATCCCAGAGAGAGACCCCAGCGTCTCCAAGAGAAAGACCCCAGAGGCTCCAGAGAACCCAGAAGACACAACCCAGACAAGAGACAGACCTCAGAAGCCCCCAAAGCCACAGAGACCCAAGAGACCCCAGACCAGAGAAAGACCACAGAGGCCCTAGGCCCCAGAGACCCTGTTCCAGCCCAGAGAGAGACCCCAGAGGCCCCAGAGATGCCACCCCGGCCCAGAGAGAGATCCCCGAAGTCCCAGAGACCCTAGTATGTCCTTAGAGACTGCAGAGGACCCAGAAACCCCAGTTGGGCACAGAGAGAGACCCAAGAGACCTCAGAGGCCCCAGAGACGCCAGCTTGGCCCACGGAGCGACCCCAGAGGCCCCAAAAACCCAGGCCATCCCACAGAGTCCACAGAGACCACCGGCCGTCCCAGAGCGAGACCCCAGAGGTCCCAGAGACCCCAGCGTGTCCAAGAAAAAGACCCCAGAGAGCACAGTCTGCCTCAGAGAGAGACTCCAGAGATCCCAGAGACCCCAGTCCGGTCCAGAGATAGAGACCGAGAAGCACAGCCAGGCCCGGAGAGAGACCCCAGAGACCCAAGAGGACACAGACACCACCGGCAGCTCACAGAGACCACACCCTGGCCTAGAGAGACCCCAGACTGGCCCAGAGAGAGAAGCAAGAGACCCTAGAGGCCCCAGAGATGCCAGACTGGCCTAGAGAGAGACCCCAGAGGCCCCTGAGAAGCTAGCGCGGCCCTGAGAGAGATCACCGAGGTCCGAGAGATCCCTGTATGTCCTTATAGAGCGCAGATGACCCAGACACCGCAGTTCGGCCCACAGAGAGACCCCAGAGAACTGAGAGGGCACAGACATCCCAGGCCAGCTCACAGAGAAACCCCAGAGGACCCAGAGACCCCAGCCTGGACCAGAGAGAGACCCCAGAGGCCCCACAGACAACAGCCTGGCATAGTGAGGAAGCTCAGAGGCCACAGAGAAGCCAGCGCGGCCCAGAGAGAGACCCCAGATGTCCCAGAGCCCCCAGTAGGTCCTTATAGAGACCCCATAGACCCCGGCCTGACTCAGAGAGAGACCACAGAGGACCCAGAGATCCCAGAGACCCCAGCCAGGCCAGAGAGAGAACCAAGAGGCACCAGAGACTCTATCTGAGCCCAGAGAGAGAACTAGAGGTCGCAGAGACCCCAACCTGGCCCAGAGAGCAACCCCAGATGGCCCAGAGACCCTAGCATGACCCAAAGAAAGACCTCAGATGCCCCAGAGACTCCAGAGATCCCAACGACCCTAGTTCGACCCAGAGAGAGACCCCAGAGGCCACAGAGACCACACCCTGGCCTAGAGAGAGACCCCAGAGATACCAGAGAAGCCAGCACGGCCCAGAGAGAGACCCCAGACGTCCCAGAGACCCTAATACTTTTTTATAGAGACCCCAGAACACCAGAGACCATGCCTTCCCCAGAGGTCCCAGAGACCTCAGTAGGTCCTTATAAAGACACCAGAGGCCCCATAGAACCCGGCCTGGCCCAGAGAGAGACCGTAGAGGATCCAGAGACCCCAGTTCGGCCCAGAGACAGACTTTGGAGGTCCCAGAGGCCACAGCCTGGCCCAGGGAGAGACCCGAGAGACCACAGAGGTCTCAGAGAGCCCAGCCCGGCTAAGCAAGCGGCCCCAGAAAACCAGAACACAGACACCCAAACCAGTTCACAGAGAAACCCCAGAACCCAGAGACCCCAGCCATGCCCAGAGAGACACCCCAGAGGCCCCAGAGACCCCGACCTGGCACAGAGAGACCGCAGAAAACCCAGAGACCCCAGTTCACACCAGAGAGAGACCCCAGCTCACCCCAGAGAGAGACCCCAGCAGTCCCAGAGACCCCAGCCTGGCCCAGAGAGTGAGCCAAGAAACTCCAGAGGCCCCATAGACCTCAGCTTGGCCCAGAGACAAAACCCAGAGGTCCCAGAGACCCTGTTCCAGCCCAGAGAGAGACACCAGAGGTCGCAGAGATGCCGTTCTGGCCTGAGAGACCCCGGAGGCCCCAGAGGGCCCACCCTGGCCTAGAGAGAGATCCCAGAGACACCAGAGAAGCCAGCGCGGACCAGAGAGAGACCCCAGAGCCCCAGAGACCACACCCTGGCTGAGAGAGACACCCCAGGCCAGGTCAGAGAGACACCGCCCTGGCATAGTGAGAAAGCCCAGAGGCCCCAGAGAAGCCAGCACGGTGAAGAAAGAGACCCCAGAGGTCCCAGAGACCCCAATATGTCCTTATAGAGACCTCAGAGGCCCATAGACCCCGGCCTGGCCAAGAGACAGACTGCAGAGGCCCCAGAGACTCCAGCTCGGTCCGCAGAGTGACCCCAGAGGCCCCAGAAACCCTAAGCCAAACCAGAGAGACCCCAGAGTTCCCAGTGACCACGTGCTATCCCAGAGCATGACCCCAGAGGACCCAGAGACCCCAGCGTGTCCAAGAGAAAGATCCCTAAGGCCCCAGTGACCCCTGAAACCACAGTCTGGACAAGAAACAGACCTCAGATGCCCCAAAAGCCCTGGAGACCCAAGAGACCCCAGACCAGAGAAAGACCCCAGAGGCCCTAGAGACCCCAGAAACCTCATCCGGCCGAGAAAGAGACTCCAGAGGCCCCAGAGAAAACAGACAAGT